CGGTGGAGGTTCACCATGCTTACCTTAACTGTTGAAGGCGGCGTGAGGCACGCGATGGAGGATGAGGCGTGAGGGCAACGCGTGGAGGAGGAGCGGTGGAGCAGCGCGGCTGGAGGAGGGAGGCGGGAGGCGAGCGCGTGGAATAGATGGAGGCGGTGGAAGGGCAGGCGAGGATCGAGCGCGCCGGTCATCCTCCATCGCGTGCCTCCACCGGGTCCAACAGGTTAAGAGCATGGTGAACTCCACCGCGTGCCTCCACCGCTCCTCCTCCACCGTGTCCAACAGGTTAAGAGCATGGTGAACTAGCAATACTACAGAGCTATTTGGTACATTACAATTGTAATTGCAATAAATATTACATACATAAAATGCCCCATGCAGCATTAATTATTTTGCAAGAAATAAACTTTGAATTTGTTGTTTGAATATCTACGGTTCTGTTTGTAGAAATTTTCTTAAATTTTTAAATCTAATATTTGATTTGTTAAAAATAGTTGTAAGATTTGATTTGATTCGGTTTTATTTTATTTATTTTTTTGAGAAAAATGCATTTCCATTGAAATCAACTGTCGTTCAAACCCCCTCAAAGCTGTTGAAACAACAAACACAAGTGGTCCCAAATGATAGCCACCGGCAGCCCCTTTCCGGGACCCAATTAAGATGCCGTGACTCTCAGCACAAAATCTCCCTGATTTCTCGCTTTTCTTCTAAATTTTTAATCGTAAAGTCATTGCAATTTTGATTTTTTAGGTTAATCGCAGAGACCCCCCCAAACTTTTAATCGTAAAGCCATTACAATTTTTAGGGTAGTACTTTCAGATAATTTTTAGTATCTAAAGAGGATATATAGGTTCATTCATTGTGAAGAGCCGACATTACGTATATTTTCAGTTGCGTAGCTTGGGCATATCATGTGCAGAGAATCAATTAATTAAAGAAAACAGATGGAATATACATTATCATGCTTAGCTTATTCCCTAAATCCATGTTTTTAGAAGTCGTTACTAATAAATCATCATCTTAAAGGTTAGCATGACCCGTAACTACATCAGAGATAAAGATTGGATGTACGTGGGTCGTGGAGAGCGCATGCAATCTATTTTCATTAATGGAGTTAGTGCTTTCATGGACTTTGTACTTAGACATGATATGGTCCGATATGGGAGGCTCATTTTGCTAGAAAAAACATCACTTCTAAAAATTAAAAAAGAAAATCAGAAAGTTAGAAACGCAGACTTGAGAAGTGGTAATCGTGTGATCACTACCCTAGAACAATAATCACCGCCTTCACAGAGACGATTTAATGCGACCACGCCTAGCGATAAGAACCCCCGAGAAAGCCGGCACCAAAATTTACTGCGAAACTTTGATCTCTTGCTCAATGGATGTTTGCCCAAAACTAAAACAAAAATCGAAATATTATAGAGAATTATGAGAGAGAGCTTGGGAATTTCTCACGGTTAATTTCCAACTGTCGGACCTTTTCATTTATGACTTTTGTTTTTATCAAACAAATTCCATCACTAGAGAAACGCCGAAACCTCTCTCAGTCCCATCCAGCCAACTTGAAACACCTTATCCTTGAGAGGCACTTGATCTAGCTCCTTCCCAATTAAGGAGAGTCCCAACCATCTTTATGAGAGGAAGAGGAGATAAATGACGGCAACAGGCACCTGAAATTTTCCCCATCAAGCAACCTCACCCTCTCTCTTTAACTGCAAATGATAATGAGATCTTGGACAACATCTCTCCACGATTCACAGCGGGGTCCAAGGTGTCTTCTTTCAGCTCCTTCGCTTTCCTCTTCTTACACCTCGCCTTCTCTCTCTGTATTATTTATGAACATAGTACAAGGTACGTAGTTGAGAATTTATTGATAATGACTGTTGACTAGCATATTGCTGGACGCCGATGGACGAGTATTTTAGGATAATATCAAGAAGAAGTATCTGAATGGATTAATCCCTTAAATAGATCAAACATATATGTCTGCAATATTTAATCTCCCAACTGCGCGACATAGCCACATCTACAGCAGAGCAAACTGATGATGTTAGTTAGGTTGACAAAAGAACAATGTTGTACGTTACCTGGACAATGGACAAATTTTCAAAACCATCCACTTTTGAAATTTATTTATAAAAAACGACCCATTTCAACCTTAATTTCAAAAATCGACCCAGTTGGTTGAAACTGGGTCAGTTTTTGAAAAAAAAAATTTCAAACTTCACGGGAGTTGAACTCCCGTGAAGTTTTGTTATGAGAAAAAACTTCACGAGAGTTCAACTCCAGTGAAGTTTGAAAATTTTTTTTTCAAAAACAGACCCAGTTTCATCCAACTAGGTCTGTTTTTGAAATTAAGGTTGAAAGGGGTCTTTTTTTGGGAATAAATTTCAAAACCGGATGGTTTTGAAAATTTGTCCCCTGGACAATTTCACACCTATAGAATAGGAAGAATGAAAGACCTAAGGAACCGTTCTACAATATGTCAGTAGAATATCTCAGTCCAAAAAATTATAGTACAATATCTAATAGTGAACTTCAAAAATGGAGATTATTATATGCTGCGGAACTTTCGATTATAATCAATAATCCAAAAATGGATTAAGTCCAAGCGGATTATAATGTAGAATGTTTGATAAAATTAATGGATTAAAATCCATTTTTAATAGTTGCACGTTTAGTAAATGAGTGGATTATAATTAATCATTGTTATCAAAATGATTAAAAAAACATGAATTTAGCATCACTACCATCTTTATGAGAGGAAGAGGAGATAAATGACGGCAACAACCACCTGAAATTTTCCCCATCATGCATCCTCACATATCTCTTTAATTGCAAATGATAATGAGATCTTGGACAACATCTCTCCACGATTCACAGCATGATCCAGAGAGTTTCTTTCAGCTCCTTCGTTTTCCTCTTCATCCACGTCGCCTTCCCTCTCTGTATTATTTATGAACATAGTAAAAGGGAGTTGAGAATTTATGCATAATGATTGCTGACTAGCATATTGCAGGATGCCGATGGACGAGTATTTAAGGATAAGCTCAAGAAGAAGTATTTGAATGGATTAATCCCTTTAAGTAATTCGCAGCTTATTGGGTCTTGCCAACTATTATAGAAAATTTATCCTGGACTTTTCGAAGATTGCTACCCCGCTGACACGCCTTATGGAAAAGGGTGTACAGTTTGCTTAGGGATCGGAGTACCAGAAGGCCTTAAGACTTTGAAGACTAAGCTGACTACAACACCAGTGTTGATCATTCCGAGCAGTGATAAGACCTTTGTTGTCTACAGTGATGCATCTTTGTCGGGATTAGGAGGCGTTTTGATGAAGACTCAGAGAGTGGTTGCATACATTTTACGGCAGTTGAGGACTCATGAGCAGAATTATCCCACTCACGACTAGGAGTTGGCAGCAGTCGTTTTCGCACTTAAGACATGGAGGCATTATCTTTATGGAGTTCAGTTTGAACTGTTTACAGACCATCAGAGTCTGAAGTACATCTTCTCTCAAAAGGAACTCAAATAGAGGCAGCGACGATGGGTCGAGTTTATTAAGGATTACGAATTCGCGCTTCAGTACCATCAGGGGAAGGCGAACGTTGTAACAGACGCGTTGAGCAGGAAGCGTCCTCACGGACTTTTAGCTTTTTGGTGCTCGTTATATCAGGATCTTCTCACTCTTAGTCAGTTTGACTTTAGGCCAAAGATTGGCGGGAGCAGCGTATTTTTAGGAGCTTTGGCCATACAGCCATAGTCGACTGATAGAGTGGTCAGTGCTCAGTTGGAGGACTATTGGATTCAAACCCGAAAGGAAGAGATTTTCAAAGAGCCGAGGGCCGACCATCGGATCAGATGGGGGCCTTCGAATGAAAGACCGATTAGTCATGCCAGATAATCCACAGCTAAAGAAGGATCTATTTGATGAAGCACACCGTACCAGGTACACAGTGCATCCAAAATGTACAAGGACATGAAGAGATATTTTTGGTGGAGCGGCATGCGTAGGGGTATTGCGGAGTATGTAGCTAAGTATTTTACATGTCAGCAAGTCAAGGCAGAACACCAGAGACCTGCATGAACCGTACAGCCTTTACCTATCCCTGAGTGGAAGTGGGCAGATATCTCAATAGATTTTATTATAGGATTACTAAGGTCCAGCAAGGGGAATGATTCTATCTTGGTGATAGTTGATCGATTGACGAAGTCGTCACACTTCATGCCAGTTAAGATGACCTATACGGTGGAGACTTATGCGAGAATTTTCATCCGAGAGATTGTTCGATTGCATGGAGTTCCGGAGACGATTGTGTCGGATTGAGGCTCAGTTTTCACTTCATATTTCTGGAAGAGCTTCCAGAATTCTTTCAGCCGCCAGGTATCATATAGCAGCATTTTCCACCCTTAGACGGAGAGAGTTAACAAGGTATTGGAGGACATGTTGCGGGCATGTATTATCAATTTTTAGGGTAGTTGGGAGGATCACATTCCATTGATTGAGTTTGCCTACAATAATAGTTATCAATCGACTATAGGCATGGCACTTTATGAAGCATTGTATGGGAAGCCTTGAAGATCATCTAATTGTTGGGCAGAGCTGGAGGATAATTTACAACTTGGGCCGGAGCTCATGAGACAGACTGCCGAGAAGGTGGTGTTGATTCAAGAGTGTATTCTTGCAGCCCAGAGTTGGCAGAAGAGTTACACGGATCAGAGGCGATGACTATTAGATTTTCAGGTCGGGGACTATGTGTTATTGAAAGTATCATCGAT